CCCACTCTCAAATCTCACGGCGCTCAAACACACACGGCTCAAATCAATGTGAAGATCAGCACCCTGACTTGCGAGCGTCTGGGTGTCACTAACTATCTTGGTAGGGTTCGAGACCTATCGAAGCCTCTGCTGAGCTATGGGTCCGGCATCCGGTTGCAATGCAACTTCAAATCGAGCCAACAAATATCAACTCTACTCGCATTTGAGTATTGAGCGACAACCAACACGATACCCTACGTAGGACCGTACCCAAGAACCGGCCAAAGTAAATTCTGGGGGCTCCTATTCCCCGTGGTACCATAATAAAGTCTCTGGTCCCGGTCAGTGGTGACCATCAACCCACAGATTACTCTGCTCGTTTACGCCTCCTAAATACATCTCGGACAAAGTCCCCGAAATTTGTCGCTGTCCAACCGTTTTACCCCCAGGCTGTCCACATTCCTCACGACCGTGTATTCCTGAAATTCACAGAGCACGTGTTCAACATCCTTAAAATCTGCTCCATGCTCATCCCTCAGATCCACGGTGGTTCCTCTTGTGCAAAAATGCATTAACAAGAACGTGCCCTGTTGAGACAAAACCCAAACTCTGACAAAGCCTGAATTCCGGATTCTCTCTCACAAACCCAATACTCGGAATGAATCGCTACGTGATACGACCATTGGGGCTACTGTCCCAAGGATCCTGGCACATACCGGCAAGTCTATCCTGCAGCAACCGTTTGCAAGTCACCGCCCGATATCCACTCCGTAAAATTCGATATTCCCACACCCCTTCTTAATCTGAAGGTCATAACTCCCGCTATGACCACCAGATCAAGAGGGAGGCTCCACCATAAGCACCTGCAGTGCGTTCGTCGAAACAGTGCGACACACCGGTGGGCAAGCTTGCAACAATGTCCTTTGGCATAGTAGAAACTTCTGGCACCCCACAACAGACATAGCTGGCTCGTACCAAAAAGCGGACCCGAAAGTGGCACAAGCCACGAATAGGCCCCGATAAATAGTACGAACAGCACGTCGGCCGAAGTCCCAGTCACATCTGGGGATGCGACGTACCTGTCACATAACACCAACCAGACGCTCTTTTAGGCGCACCAAGTTGGAAGCAAAGCTCATATGAAAAAGGCCGAACTCTAGTGAAAGCGAGCTCACCAGGATATTTGGCAATGCTTCGAGGAAATCGCCAATGGCTCTAAAGCTGATCCAGGTTTTGTAGTGATATAAATAGCCAAACGATGGGTAGACAATGGATAGGCAGCGATTTAGAAAAGGTGAAATATTTACAGCTACCCTTTATAGCTAGAAAAAAAGATCCTTTAATTTGGTGGAAGAATAGTCGCAAACAATTTATAATTTTGTTTACACTGGCAATAAATTATCTCTGCCACCACCTTGCTTAGTGTACTCAAAAGGAGAGTTCCGTGCATCAGGTAGCATTTATGTTGAAAACAGAAATAGGTTGAATATTTATAACTATAATTACTAATTAAATACTATTAGTTTTGATTATAAAAATGCAAAAAAAAAATCTGAGCTCGATTTTTAAATTGAAACTTCTGTAACAGAAATCCGGAAATAAGGCGTGATTTTAGTTAGTATCCGGCCGGATAGGCGGATAACAGAAAAACGGCCGGACAAGCAGGATTCCGGATATCTATCTACCTAGCACATTCCTGCTTTAAATACTCCTCTGTGCGGCGACCAAAATCACACTCAAAAGTCTCTCATCAGGCCCCTCGTGATGTATGGCCAAGAAGCGTGTGCGACGCCATATGAGGCGGGAGTGTTAGAGAGAAAGATTCTACGGAAAACGCGTGGCACTTTACTTACTTGTGACGGCAAGTACCCGAGGTGATCGAGGTCTCAGCTGTAGGAGTATTAAAACGACNACGCGTGGCACTTTACTTACTTGTGACGGCAAGTACCCGAGGTGATCGAGCTCTCAGCTGTAGGAGTATTAAAACGACATTGNAATTGGCACAGTTCTGCGATTTATAATACAGGAGCTATGCTGGCCAGGTCATGGCATACGAATGGATGCAAATGCTCCAGCCCTGCCAGTATTCGCTCCAGTACCCACTCGGGGTAGCAGAAGAGAAGGAAGACATTGTTTTCGTTGGAAAGATCATGGGAAGATAGATTTATATTACGCTCTCATTGAGCCACTTACTCGAGTTTAACGTTTTGAGTTTATGAACAACTGTCAAGTGTTCGCATTTGGGGGTGTGTAAGAAACTCAGAGTTTAATATGAAATTTTTTTATTTACTTTTTCTTTTTCTCATTTAGTCTGTTCGCGGACTACAGGATTTAACACACACACATAAGTCTAGAGTATCAACCGTTTAGCTATAAAAAAAACACGAAATGAGAATCGATCGATAGAACTGTTTACGCTGATTTCAACGATAGCAAAATATTTGTGGCAAAAAAACACATNGATTTAACACACACACATAAGTCTAGAGTATCAACCGTTTAGCTATAAAACAAACACGAAATGAGAATCGATCGATAGAACTGTTTACGCTGATTTCAACGATAGCAAAATATTTGTGGCAAAAAAACACACCAGTAAAAGAGGTTAAAGTTCAACTTTTCTATTTCTTATGTGTTAATATCTCGGAAACTACTTAAAAGATTATGCTCATTTCAACGTAATTTTAATACCTTTTATGCGACGTATTTACGATAACCAGTTTTAAAATAAATTGTGTATAAACGCCAATTAAAAAATAAATAAATTTTTTTTTAGTATTTCTGGACTAAAAATATAAAGAAGTATACAAGTTATATACATAGATGAAAGACAAATTAATTACCTTTATTTCGACGTCATTCGTTTTTTAATAGGTTATGTTGTTCAGAAGATATTAATATTTAAAAAATCAAAAAATTGAACTTTAACTATTGATATCTTCTTTATATTTTACTTCCGCCAGATAATTTTGGTAGGGTTGATCATCACAAAAAGTTCTATCGAGCCATATTTTTGTCTTTTGCATAGCTAGATTTTTGAAATCAGCACAAGAAGTTGTATCGAGCCATATTATTGATTTTTGCATAGCTAGATTGTTGATATTCTACACTTATGTGCACGGAACGACCTCGGACTATTTCTGATAAAATCCTGCAGTACGGGAACAGACTAACTGTCGGTAATACCATGTTCTTACCGACAACGAGAACACTTTGAAAACGAGTTTTGGGATGGTGGGCTGAAGACTGTTCACACCGGCTGTTAGCGTTTTCGTTGACATTTCTTACATCCTCTGATTACAGTTTCGCTACGCAAAAACCAAACCAAAATGATTTTCCCTCATTTTCTTTTCATTAGCAACCTCTTACTTTCATTCTTATATTACTTTGGGCAGCCAATTAACAATAAATCCTAAATGGCGTATTAAATATGAAAAATATGACTTCCACTTCGATAAATAATCGAAAAAACTAGTGAAGACACCGATTGGAATGAGTGGAACGTGAGTTTTCAAGTAGTTTTCAGCGAAAACTGGTTTTCGTTTGACAGATTTTACATGGACGAAAACACAAGTTTTAGGTCGAAAACCAGTTTTAGCAACGAAAACATGTTTTCGATGTCGGTCAGAATATGGCATAAGTTGGTTGCAGGTTTTGATTATCAAAGATACAAACCAAATTCGGCCAGAAAAAAGGGTTGCATTCGCATAAACTCCAAATAAAAGTGGTGTTTAAGGAGAGTTTAACGAAATTGTTTGTAAGGTAAACTCCGAGTTTGAGAGTAGAGTTAAGCGTTAAACTCCAAAATGGCCCAAAAACTCGAGCTTGTGGCTCAATGAGAACGCTTTATAAGCCGAACTAGGTGTTTCTGATTTGCACCAGCTATCTGAAAGGACTACTTGTGTGCTATAATGTGCTTGAGAAAAAGCAATTAAGCGGTTATACCACCAATCAAGAAGAAGAAGAAGAATATTCTACAATAAATTCCAATACCCAAATCCTTCATATGAGTTATTATCGGAAAAGGGTTGATCTGCTGACACTGGCATATTGGCCAACAACCCAGTCAAAACCCGCGTTATATACGCTTAGTACTACAAAAAGTTTATGTAAGAAATTCAAAAACTTTCCATCATTTAACATAGGGCTCCTGGAGAAATCTAACGCATAATCGTTTTCCATGTGAGCAGTTTTCTCTTTCTTTTACATAGAATTCGCTATTATATTATCCCATTTGTTATTGTTTCTTTTCAATCAAGGAACGGCATATATGTATCGCTAATAAGTAAATCTGTTGATTTTTATTGTAAATGTATGGGAGAATACGTTCCCAGCATAAACCAAATTGGGGACCACTTTTCGAGAGTAACCGCTTACCTTTTCATTTACAGAACGCATTATTTTAACATTTGCATGTCATTGGAGGTAATCGAATAAATGTAAAATTTCTTGTCTTTGCATTACATGTAATGCAATGGATAAGCGAAAATTGTCTTGAGGCGACTTGTATTTGTTAATCCTTTGATACAGAAATAAGTACTTCCCAAAAAGTTTAAAGCTTTTGCTGGGTTAGGTTGGTCTANATTACATGTAATGCAATGGATAAGCGAAAATTGTCTTGAGGCGACTTGTAACTATTTGTTAATCCTTTGATACAGAAATAAGTACTTCCCAAAAAGTTTAAAGCTTTTGCTGGGTTAGGTTGGTCTTGCTGGCTAGTGATTCTCACACACACAATCTCACTATTATGCTGACTACAATTTGCCCTGCCGATCGTTTTTACTTTCCGAGCTAGCCTTGCGATCTGTGCACGCGTTGGCAGGCGAAGTCCCTCTCGACGCATATGTGCATTCATAACTAGCTGATTAAATAAAAGATACAAAAATAAATGAAAGGGTTTCCCAGTAAAATATCAACAAAAAAATACTAAGTACATAAACATTTAACTCCCATTTACACTTAAATTCCCCGCAGAAGAAGAAATCTAGTCGGTCAACATTTGATTAGATGTGTTAACTTACCTGACCAATTTGATCCATAAGTTTGTATTGGTTTAGTTGTAAAAAGCTCCCTGATTGCTCTATTGAAACACGACGAGATTCTCTTAAAGGAGGTCGACGTCTATTACTTCGAGGACTATAATAGGGATTTGTATACGGAGTATAAGGTGGATTTGAATATATTGAACGCGATTCAAGACACTGGTGTTTCGATGTAATAAAGTGGCTAAGAGAATTAACTGAACATTCATTTGCATTTGACGTTGATTTCTCCATAGTAGGGTATGATTGACTTAAGCGTTGTCTGAACTACTGCGCTGTTATCACATTTGCATTTAGACGGTTATGAAGTTCACCTGAAAGGAAATCACATTTATCAAAACAAAAATATTACAAATGGTTAAAAGCTAAGTGTAAATATGTATTTGAGGTAGATTTTTGGTGTCGATTCAATTTCCTAAAGTATATACATATGTATACACTATTAACATGTTTATATAAACAAATAAGATGCTTTCACTGGTTGCACTTTAGCGTTGGCACTTTTCTACGATCGTAGTAAACTTATGGGCGTCTGAGCAACACCATATGCAACATAAATAGGCAAACCCGGTCAAATTTTCACATAAACGAAGAGTAACGATTCTAGAGTTAGCCTTAAGCGCTTGGTTGTACTAACATTACAGTGCAGGGCATGTGAAGGAGGGGTGTAATTATAATCCGCATAGAGCGCAAAATCTCCCAAAATCAGCTGTTCAGTGTAATCAGTTAGTCAGTTCCAGTACTCCATGATTTAGCTGGGAATATATAACCGAAGAACGCGTATTCCTAGCCTAAATAAAATCGGCATTACCGTTAGTTGCTGCTTTTTGTCATAACTTTTAATGGAATAGCAGCAACTAACTTTATAATCGACTTTATTTGGACTATGAATATGCCACAATGTATGTATCCGAACAACTTCACAGGAAATTGCGCAGATCTGATGAAGTACTCATGTTACGCGTAGGTGTAACCAGCGCTTTAACCGGATGTCGCTAGCAGAGAGAAATATCCAATGTTTGAGAAGGATACGAAGTTGCGCAAAGAGCTAACAATTCCCAAGCATAGACTTAAAATGCGGCTCAACATAGGCAAAAATTTAGTTCGCCTTATTGAAATTTTTCTTAGAAATCAAACAATACATTCTCGAAGAAAGTAAATGTTCACTTACTATTGACAAAAGTACTGAGGTAAGCTGTAAAAAGAGTTTAGTTATATTCAAAGGAGCAAGTGGTGAAGGATTTCGGCTGGAGCGGAGCTTTGTTGTGCTGGTTATTCTCACAACTCAAAGAAAAGTTAAGGTTAAGTGCAAAGATATCACAAAACTTACCGTCAATGAAAAGCGGCAAAAATATTTACTGAATTTTATTCAAAAGATTAGTTGCAAAACTCGTTTTTATTAAAATATTTTGATATCTTGTTTGCAGCGGTGCCATGAACTGAAAAATTAAGTAGAAATTTTAAAATCAAAAACTGCTTTAATTTTAACAAAACTGCTTTGCTTTCAGCTCTAAAGCGCTTCTGAAAAAGCTTGCTGTATGAACACTTTCAAACAGAACGTGCTCGTCTACGTTGCATTCCGGACACAGAGGTGAATCAACCAAGCCAAAGCTGTTCAAGTACTTACGGAAGCAGCTGTGGCCAGTTAAAAACTGCGTTAAGTGGAAGTATAAGTCCCAATGCTTTCTGTTCACCCATTTTCCAATACTAGGGATGAGGGTTTATGTCCACCTTCTATCTGTTGAGTTTTCCCAATGCACCTACCATTCTCTCATCGATTCACCCTTTTCCTGTGCGGTAATTGCCAGAACATCAGCATCGCCTTACTTCCTTCTGTGGTAAACTCTCGCTCTTTCTACGGTTGATAAGTCGATAGGGTCATACCAGCAATTAACATTGCTGCATCGTCCGACTTCATCTTATACGCACTCTGAGAGCACTGAGTCTGTATACAGCCTAGTACGGTTTTTTGTAGACCTTCACTTCCAAAGATTTTGCAAAGATTGGGGCCGCACATAGTAATACCGTTTCCAGTAGTGCGCGTTTACCGCCCCTAGGGCCGCCGACGTTAGGCAGCATTCTTGATAGCACTCCGTATACCTTTCATGCTTTTTGGGTCATGTTTTCTGCGTGTTGACCAGAGCTGAGCTTTTCGTCTATTATCACCCCAGGTATTTTAGCTGGCGTGAGGATTGGGTTGCGGTATCAGGTTTTTTTGCTGCTACTTATGACGATCGCCTCCGTTTTTTCAGCTGCGATAGATAAACATACGCTTTCCAGATATTTTATCACCGCTTTGATCGCGGTGTTTGCCTTCTTTGACCCCTTGAATTTGCCTAGCTGCTACTAGTAACGCGATGTCATCCGCAAACCCAACAATGTCTGCTCCGTCCGGAAACGGTAGTCGCAGCACGCAGTGTTTCTACTGTATGGAGTCAGGCGGAAAAAAGTCATGGTGACATGGGCCTAGAGAAGAAAAGCAAAAGTCATAAATACAGAATTTCAGATCATTTACTCACCCCCCTCTCCACGAACGGTGCATTTCCAAAAAAAAACTGGAATCGGTGCGATACTGACTCATAAATTTAGTTGCCTTTGGCGCAGCCCATTAAAGAAAGTGTTTTTTTTTCACCTGTATTCAATTCTTTAAGTGTCGCGGCATATTTATTTATTTATTTTATATATTTAAATAAATAAAATAAATAAATAAATCGGACCCTAAATGAAGTTTTTCGGAACAACTCCACTCCTACTCCACCTACTGAAAAAACAAACAAAATGCGCACCTCCCCTTTGAAATACCTTTCGAACAAAAGAAGAATCATTCAAATTGGTTGAGAAACATAGGAGCAGTAGGGAGGAATAGATTTGTATGGGATTTCGTTAGCGTATTAATATATAGATAGTAGATGGTGAAACCAAAGCAGGCATTCATAGGCTTATATGCAAATTGGAATAAATCGGCTCTGGAGCCACCTATCGGGTCCATTTTGACGTAGAATACGTCTTACCTTATATCGTAAGGGGTCTATGCTGAAATGTTGTAGTTGTAATTTTTAGAGCTTCACAATAACGTTTATTGCACGAGAATAATGAAGCGATTTCAAAGAAAAGTATGGCGTTTCAAACATAAAATTCTAAACCTATCGACAGATTCATTTTTTAAGTAACAAATTCGGTTTCTGTCGTAAAAACAACGATAAACATTGCCTTATTTTGGGGTCAATTTTAAAGTGCTCTAGCAACTTATTGTTGGCATATATAACTTTCATTTTCGGGATATAGGTTCTTTGGAGCAGTGGAAATATTATCGTGTACAAATTTTATATAAATTCAACAAATATTGACTATTTTAAGGCAAAAAATGTTTGAAAAAATTTGCAAATTTTTTTTATTACCAATATGCTCGAAAACCGCTCGAATGATTTTGCTTTTGTGTTCTCTAATCAAAAATTCAAGAGTTTTCCTTTCGTATGGTATATGGGAAGTATTGGTTGATATCTTCTTTATATGTTTATTTTATTCAAATATATGGGCATAAATGATTTTCCATACAAAATCCCTTCGTCATTAGTTTGCAAACACGTGCATGCATTGGAAGTGCATTATCGATTTTGTTATCGGTTTTGTTACTGATATTTTCATCGATTTTGCTATCGATATTGTTATCGCTTTTAATATCGGTATTCTTATCGTTTTTTTTATCGATACTCATCAGGGCGCACGCCACAAGGCGGAGGAGAAGCTCGGCCAAACACTAACATATGTGTAAGCGCCATTCTATTATTATTATTATTTGATCGATTTTGCTATCGATATTGTTATCGCTTTTAATATCGGTATTTTTATCGTTTTTTTATCGATACTCATCAGGGCGCACGCCACAAGGCGGAGGAGAAGCTCGGCCAAACACTAACATATGTGTAAGCGCCATTCTATTATTATTATTATTATTTGATCGATTTTGCTATCAATATTGCCACCGTTTTTGTTATCGATATTTTTATCGATTTTGTTATCGACTTTATTATCGATTTTTTGATAGATTTTGTTAACGATTTTGCTATCGACTTTGGAACCGACTTGGTTATCGATCTTGGAATCGATTTTTTTATCGATTTATTAATCGATTTTGTTACCGATGTTTTTATCAATTTTGTTGTCGATTTTTCTATCGATATTATTATCGCTTTTGTTATCGATATTTTTTTCTGAGTGTGTGCTTTCGTTTTTGACTTGGATATGCTCTTAACCATACTCCGTATTCTACGTTTAAATTTAGCGGGTGTATCTCCGAGCCTGCAGACCAAGACGAAGACGCTGGACTAGTCCTTTTTTTTAGGTGTATTTATATTGATGTTAGTAATAAGTGTTTTGAATTTGAAGGAAATCGGACCATAAACGAAGTTTTTCGGAATAACTCCCCTTTGAAATACCTTTAGAACAAAAGAAGAATCATTCAAATTGGTTGAGAAACATAGGAGCAGTAGGGAGGAATAGATTTGTATGAGATTTCGTTACATAGAAGATGGTGAAACCAAAGCAGGGATTCATAGGCTTATACGGAAATTGGAAAAACTCGGCTCTGGAGCCACCTATCGGGTCCATTTTTTGCAAGTGTATTTCTCTTGATGTTGGTAATATGTATTTTGAAAAACAAACAAAATGCGCACCTCCCCTTTGAAATACCTTTCGAACAAGAGAAGAATAATTCAAATTGGTTGAGAAACATAGGAGCAGTAGGGAGGAATAGATTTGTATGGGATTTCGTTAGCGTATTAATATATAGATAGTAGATGGTGAAACCAAAGCAGGCATTCATAGGCTTTTACGGAAATTGGAATAACTTGGCTCTGGAGCCACCTATCGGGTCCATTTTGACGTAGAACACGTCTCACCTTACGATATGGGGGCTATGCTGAAATGTTGTGGTTGTAATTTTTAGAGCTTCACAAAAACGTTTATTGCACGAGAACTAATGAAGCGATTTCAAAGGAAAGTATGTCGTTTCAAAGATAAAATTCTACACCTATCGATAAATTCATTTTTTTAAGCAACCAATTTGGTTTCTGTCGTAAAAACAACGANGCTATGCTGAAATGTTGTAGTTGTAATTTTTAGAGCTTCACAAAAAGTTTATTGCACGAGAACTAATGAAGCGATTTCAAAGAAAAGTATGGCGTTTCAAAGATAAAATTCTGAACCTATCGACAGATTCATTTTTTAAAGTAACCAATTCGGTTCCTGTCGTAAAAACGACGATAAACATTGCCTTATTTTGGGGTAAATTTTGAGCTTTAAAGTGCTCTAGCAA